TTTGGTGGGATGCGGATTCGAACCCGCGACCCTCATATTGTGAGTCGAGCGCCTTATCTACCTGGCCATGCCGGGCCTTTCTCATCTTGAAAGACAAAGATGTACCTTTCCTCTTGTGCTGTCGGTACCTGTCCAGGCATATCTCTCTAACAGGTGCTGCCATGGTGTCGGGTGAAAGGAAACTCATATGGGGTATAGGGCCTTGATATTTATGGTTTAACCTTGTGTTACATAAATGAGGAAAAATCCTTCCTCTAGCTTGGTTAAACCACAAGTTTCAGGGAACGATGATAATGCCGTAAGGGTGAAGTTGAAACTGTCAATGAGTCAGATATTAAAGTGTTTGACAGTCGTGACCATTATCTACCTACCATTAGCAATAATGTCGGGTTTTATTCCTTGACAGATAATATAATATAAAATGAAATGAGTGTCAACTCCTTTCATGTTATGAGCTATGGCTGTGTAATTTTTATGTTCCTCGGAAAATATGAACTCACAAAACTCATCACATGAATTGTGGCTTTTAAGTACTGTCTTTTTATCGTGGACATTAGAGTAATTTACTTCATGAATTCTCGCTACTTGATGACTCTCAAAATAAATAACAAACAAACTAATATTTTGTGGATGAATCTTTAACGTCTTTTGAATTAAGGAAAACACAGGTGTGTAGATGGTATGAGAACTTTTTTATATCCTACACAACGTGTTTCGCTGCATTGGTGAAAATCCAGACAATGATTTGTCCTGGTAATAATAACAAAACATGTTTTGTATTGAAAACAATTGTTACACAAAAAAACTGTCTGTTGAGCACTTGTTGATTTGTGTCTTTTATAACAGTTTACAGTTGCATTGCTTATTTTAGAGCAAAGCCACTGTGGGGAATCAAACTTGAATTTTAGCATATTAAGTCCGTAAACTTACCATTATCACACCAAGGGACAGCACTTTACAGATTTAAAATAGCTGTTACAATCAGCAAAAACCAGGGATTAATCATTTGTGGATTACTGTAACAAACACAGTGATGTAGGTTTGAACGACTAAACCCCTTGTCACAAACATAACAGAAACATACAACCCTGAGGAGACCCTTCAGTGACGTGATGACATCAATATGTTTATCATTTAAACAGAGGAAAATATTTTTGGAATATGAAAGACCTTGATAGATAACTCTATTGAAATTGTTGAAATTTTACGTTTAAATATCGCTCAAATCTCGCTATTTCTCAATTCCACAAGGTCCTTCTGGAACATTAGACGAAGCATGAAGTTCTCCGGCCATTCGTGTAAGTAATGTTCTTCACTAATATTGAAGACTATTATATCTCGGATGATTTCGAAGGTGCACTAAAACTATGGCCTTAGTACAACAGAGATCATCATCATCATCATCAAACGATCAGTACTAATATCTACAGGTATATATAAGATAAAGACCCCAGTTTTAAACAATTTGTTTAATGTTATATCCTTTTTACTCCAATTAACTTTTTCGATATTTCATAGGATCATGTTGGGTGAAAAATACTATCTTGTCACGTAAACATGTACTAATACGTTTGTCAGTAGGTAGAGCAGCCGTCCGGACACACGCGCTGATTGGCTGCCTCAAGGGCAGGGTGATAGAGATCACAATTCATAGTTTCACGAAGTTCAACCAGAGGGCGCATTGCTAGGGCGCCATGACAGACAGATGCTATCATGAGAATGGAGTTGTTCAGAAAACGTGTTGCTAGGCTACCATGATAGGCAGTGAGGGAGTGATACTAGAGGCACGTTGCTAGGCCGCTACGACAGGCGGATGTTGTCATGACAACAGAAGCTGCCTAGAAAGCATGTTGCTAGTTTCACAAAGTAGCACGAGAGGGCGCATTGTTATGTCATGATGATCTCATCATAGAATGTCTCAAAATGTGATTATGTCATCAGTGTCTAGTTAAACCATTATTTTATTGATAAAATTACTGTTTCACCAGCTTGGTTTTATGCTATTCATATAAGAAGTGATACTAAAAGGTGTGTTGTTAGAGAAGGGGTGATATCACAGTTCGATACCACAGAGTGTTTTACTATAGGCAGATGGTGCTGCCAATGTTATGTAGGTGAATGCTGTTACTATAGGAGGATGGTATTATTAAGGTTTATGGACATATGGTCTTAGTAAGTTTCTATGGGTGGATGGTTATATGAAGGTTCTATATAAACATTGTGTTACTGAGGGACAATTGTTTTCAACGTGTTTCAACACGTCATTGATGTCTAAATGTAATAATATGTTCTATGATAGTTACTTTATAGTTTTCACAAATGTGTGTTTTACAAAGGCGGATGGTGATTCTGTAGGCATATAGTGTTATGATAAGCAGGCTAAGGACAATGCTAGCATAGATCGTAGGATCACTGATTAATCTCTTTTATTTTACCTTATTTGCCTAGTATATTTTTTACAATTGTCCATCACTTTATGTATAAAACACCTCACTGATTCATTAGTTTCACTTCTATGTTTGATTTTACTTTTTTTACTGTTTCTGGAGTTGGATAGTGTTACTAATACATTTAACATACTGTTATAAGTAAAACAATCTGCTATTTTAATTTTATTAACTTTACAGTTTTTATTTACATAAGTTTTTACAATTGCGGACGATGTTACTAGGCAGATGGTCTTACTAGGCGTATTGTGTGTGTTTTACAAAAGCAGATGATGTAACTAAGGTCTGATGGTGTTACTAAGCAGATGGTCTTACTAGGCGTATTGTGTGTGTTTTACAAAAGCAGATGATGTAACTAAGGTCTGATGGTGTTACTAAGCAGATGGTCTTACTAGGCGTATTGTGTGTGTTTTACAAAAGCAGATGATGTAACTAAGGTCTGATGGTGTT